TGATAGAAATTTGTTTTCTTTCTTTCTTTTCTTTTTTTTTTTTTTTTGGTTCCTGGCTGTTTTTTTGTCTTAGGGCTGATGCCACCTGCTGCCTGGGCTTTCCTCTGAGAAACAGATCTCTCAACGGTTTATTCCAAGCAACATCTGCAGGCATAGCTGAACAAACCATAGGCCAGTTCTGAGGGCACTATTTCCTTTATGTAGTACACACTGAACTACACTAAATTTCTCTTTAAAGCATTTAAAAAAGTCATATTAAAGATCCAAATGTTTGTACATTAACTTTCCCCAACAAGCATCTTTTTTTAAAGACTAACTTTATTTATCATTATTATTTTAAAGTTTCTACAGGACGTGTGTGTGCAACCAGAGAGAGAGACAGAAAGAGACAAAGCAAGCCACTAGGTCTGGGACTTGAATAGCAGTCAGCCATGTGAGAGTCCAGCACCCCAACCACCACGCCACCTGCTGGCCCCAGTATCTTTTATTAAAATTGTGGTAAAATGGGCCACTTTAACTATTTATCCCTTGTGTGTTTTAAAATTAGTTAATATTAAATAGTAAATGGTTCACTCACCAAAGTCAAGCCTCCTTGTCACTTTTTGGAGACCAGTGAACACTAAAAAAAAAATGAACAGGGTCCAATCCTGTAGCCAGATTGAGCCAGTCCCCACATGGGCAATGCTGATTTGAATCCCAGCCTCAGTGGCTTGAAAAACACACTGAGTGCATGTGAGTACTTCCCCAAAATCCCAACAGGATAAAGAAACGGAGGGGGAGGGATTGTGGTGTGATCATGCCTTCTGGGAGGTGATTTCTCCCTCTCCCTGTCTCTTTGTATCTCTCTGGCCAAGCACATGTGCCCTCTGGCAATTAAAAAAAATCAATAGACAAAGACCTAAAGCAGGAGGTGATGAAGTACTGCTGGTGGCACAAATATGGCCCACTGCCTATTTTTTATATGGCCCACAGCTAAGATGATTTTTAAGTTCTTTAAAAAAGGGTGGAGGGGGCAGTTAAGTGACGGGATCTTACAGGGCCAGCTGTGTGATTTGAGTCCTAAACCCAATAGCTTGAAAAACATACTGGGCACGTGTGGATGTGTGCCCAAAATCCCAAATGGAAGGAAAGATGGAGGAGAAAGGATTATGGTGTGACCATTCCCCATGGGGGAGTGATTTTTCACCTTTCTTCTCTCTGTGCCTTTCTCTGGCAAGCACAGGTGCCCTCTGGCAAATTAAATAAATTTAAAAATAAAAAGAACAATACTTCGTGGCATAAAAATCATATAAAATTATGAGGCCAGCAGGTGGCCTAGTGGTTAAGGCACTGGATTTCCACATGGTCAACTGTGGTTTGAGTCCTAGTTTGAAAATCATGCCAGGTACATGCACATGTGTGCCCCAAGAGGATAGAGGAAAAGGGATTGTGGCATGGCCATCCCCCTTGGGAGGTGATTTCTCATTTTCCCTCTCATTATCTCTCTCTGTTTTTCTCTCCAGTGTGCACAAACAACCTATGGCAAAACCTAAAAAAAAGAACACATAAAATTTGAATATCTTGTCCATAAACTCAAGTTGGAACACAGCTAGGCTTGCTCATGGCCTACTTTTACCCTAAAATGTGTTTTTTATTGGAAATTATTTTAAAAACTAGTGGGTAGGCTCTATACAGGATGTGATGCTTAAGACCATATCATATCTTCCTAAAACTGCTTCTGGAACTAGAGAGTAAGTCACAAAGGCACTGATACACCAGGATGGTAGGAAACCAAACGGGTGATACTCGGGAATTGGGAACTTGAGCCACTTACACAATGGTTATTCATTCATTCCCACCTCAGTTGAGTAATTACAGCAGAAAAAATATGTAGTCCATCAAACCGAAATTATTTACTGTCTCACCCTTTACCAAGAAATGTTTGCCAACACCTGACCTACAGTCACAGGTGGCATCCAGGCTCAAAAATTATGAACTGGGGGCCAGATGGTGATGTGGTGGTTAAAACATCTGGATTCCACATGGGCGATTTTGCAATTCAAGTCTCAGACCCAGAGGCTTTTAAAATACCCCGGGTGTGTGTGCATGTGTGACCAAAATCTCTAGACAAGAAGGGATTGCAGTGTGGCCATCTCCCCTGGTAGGAGGAAGTGATTTCACTCTCCTGCACCCCACTCTCTCTGACAACTGCCAGTGCCCTATAGCAGAACTAAAAAACAAAACAAAACAATGAAATTAAAAGCTGATATATGGCCCATCACTAAAAGCCTCTACTCTATATTGTGAAGCATCGAAAGCAATATTTTATATCTTAATCATTTATTGCTTTTGCTCCTACGATGTTAAACTGTAAGTGTATCAATAGTATCTATCTTGAGACTATCAACACTCTCTTTATTAGTAGTGAACCTAAATGAAAGACTTTCTTATTTTAAGCTTTATAAAAGGGCTGCTTGCATACCCCCAAACATTTAAATCGTTTGTCTAGAGCCAAAACAGATTTTCGCAAAAAGATCAGAATTCTTTAATACCAGTTCAAAATGGTGTTTCTTAAAATAGAGCATTAAAGTAATGGGTAGGCATTTGGTCTGCCTCTCTCCTTCATTGCTTTAGTGCCCGAGTTGCAAATAAATAGTTAATTCTATTAGCATTAATGAAGTCCCCAAGAAGAACAGGACCTGTAGCTTATGAAGCTCTTAATGTAACTGAATTCACAGGTTTTATGGCATGATATACTCCTAGCTAATGAGACAAATTCCATATAAGGAGTTAGAGACTGAGCATTAGTTTGTAAACTTATAAAAGGCTGTGAGCAGGTGGTGTGGTGGTTAAAGTGCTAGATTCCTCTATGGCTGACTGCCGTTCAAGTTCCAGACCCAGTGGCTTGAAAATCACAAAAAATAAATAGATAAATAAATGTCTAAACAAACAACAAGGCTATAATTTGAGTACACAAGCTCTGTTGATGCCCATCTGATAGTCCCCAAATGCAGTAAAAACATGGGAACAAGTAGTTTGCCCTAAGCAGTTTTCCATAAGAACTCAGATTGCTCAAGTCCATCCAGTTTTCATTGTTCTTCCTACCTCTTAACCCTTGCTACAAGTCAGTAAATTCCAGAAGGGAGCACATCACTGGAAGCCTATCAGCCCATGGCTCTAGCTGCCTTCTTCCTTGAGACAAGAATCAAGATTCTACCATTAACTTCTGTCTTCCTTATCAGTTGTGAAGAAAGGGAGAAAATCTCAAAGAAAGAATGAGAGAAAAAGGGAAATCAATGGAAGTTGACTCTACTCTGTAATTAGAAGTGGCATTGATGGGGAATGAGCTAACTGTTTTCCTAAAGCTAGCATTCAAAAATGCAAACCACCAGTTATTTAAATATTACAAAATTGTGCAGAATATAAGTATTGAAATAATTTTTTCCATCCACAAAATTTTAGAGAAAATTACAGTATCACAAAATATAAAATGGCAAGTTGGGCATATCCTCGGGGTTAAACATGTCTTTCTATTGGAAAGGATTTCAAACACCAGTGCATAGCCTCTAGACAGGATATGATTTGAAGACCACATGGTATCACTCTAACACTGTTTCTTTTTTTTTTTTGGAGAAGTTTTTAGCTATAGGGCACGTGCGCTCGCCAGAAAGAGAGAGACAGAAAGTGAGAAATCACCCCCCAGGGGGGATGGCCATGCCGCAATCCCTTCTCCTCCATTCTTCTCTCAGGATCCTGGCACGTACGCACACGCGCCCGGCATGAGTTTAAGCCACGGGGTCATGGTCAGTTACGTGGGATCCAGCTCTCTTAACCACTAGGTCACAGGGCCGGCCCAACTTTAGGCATTTATGTCAAGTACATGGGAGTCCAGCAACATAGCCATTATACTAACTGCTGGTCCCTCACCCTAACACTGTTTCTAAAACTAGAGATGAAAAGTTTACAAAAATACTGTTGTTGGGCCAGCTTAATAGCAGTGGTTGAGTCCTGCACAGAGAAAGCTGGATCCTACAGCCACATGTCTGCACAGGGTTCAAGTCCCGGCCCTGGTGTCGAAAAGCAGGCCAGGTTTATGAATGCCCTGGATCCCAAAGAGATGGAGAAAGGATTGCAGTGTGTGACCAGACACCATTGTGAGAGTGCTTTGTCTCCCTCTATCTCTTGTGCACGCATATGTGCCCTCTAGCATATTTCAGTAAATAAATGCCTTCCAAGGCTCTTACTAATCTGGCAGGGCTCATTGAACTGGGAACTTGGGCCTCTTAGGAAAAAACCACTTATGATTGTTATTTATTTGTCCCCACCCCACATTCCCAAATGTAAGACATCTTCAAAAAATTTGTGGAAACATGTATTATGAAAAAAACTATGCACAGATTTCAAATTTGTTTTCATATACAAATAAACTTCTACTATAATTCTATTTTCCATGAAATGTTTAAAGTACTCTTACAGAGCACATCAAGATTTGGCATTTGGGGCCAGCAGATGGCCCGGAGGTTAAGGCGTTGGATCCCACATTGCTGACCACATGGTTTGAGTCTAGACCTGCAGATTTGAAAATCATGTTGGGTGTGTGTGCATGCGTGCCCAAAATCCTGAGAAGAGAATGAAGGAGATGGGATTGCAGTGTGACCATCCCCCCAACTCTGGGGTAATTTCTCACTTTCTCTCTCTCTCTAGCAAGCATATACATCCAATAGCAAAAACTTAAAAAACAAAAAAAAAAAGAGAGAGAGAGAGAGAAAGAATTGGCATTCAAATTATGTTGGAGCTGCAGCTTTGACCCTAGTGAAGGAAAGGTGCCTGGGGAGAGGATACCACCTTCCAACAAGATTATTCTGCCCTTCCTACAGGCGAACCAGTTTATTTCCAACTTTCTCTCTCTGCAGAGGACGTAAAATCCTGACCACACAGATGGCAAAGTGGAGCTAGGGGGTTACTAGGTTACAGTTATGTTGACATATTCTGGCTCTCAGAATGTCCCTCTCTCACTCCTCACATGCCGGCAAACAGTAGACGTGATCAAATTGTAAAAGTCCCACAGAAGGCAGCGATCAATCAGAAACCACTTACTGAGCTTCATGTTTGCAGCACTTGAAGACCCCTTTTTTACTTATCTAAAGCCAAGCTTTGCCTTTACAGGGCTTACTTGGACAGGAAGCTATCATAGCCCTCCCAGGGCAAGTGAGGTATCTAGCACTTGGTGAATTGGGAAGCACTGTAAAAAGTATTAGTAAAATATGTTTATGGACTGCCTTCTTTATGCAGGTATGTTACCAGAATGTATCATGTAATCTTTACAACAAGGGAGTTACCTTTTTCTTCTCTTTACAGATGAGGAACCTGAGGTTCAAAGAGCTTTAAGGAATCGCCCAAAGTCACACACTAAGTGACCACACCAAGGCCTACCTTTTCCACTAATCCAAGCTGGTGAGTAAACAAAGCAACTCTTGAGTTTTCTTTCACTAGCAAAATCCTGTCTTTCCAACATTGCAGTTTGCAACTTTGGGTGGAGAACGCAGAGGAAGGTTTTCCTACTGGGGCAGACCGGTAATGAACTCTTTCCGTCCCTTTCACAAATGTCTGATGCTCAACACCAAAACAACCTGCAGAAAAACCCAACCCGGCCAGACAACGCCCGTTCGCCTGCTCTTCAACTTGGAAAGGATTATTTTGCAAGGAAGGGTGTGTGTGGAAGCTAGTCAAAGTCTCAGCTTCCATCCTGGTCCAGAGAGCCCTACCTCGGGGAAGACCTGGCCTTGGCCTTGTTCTGGGGAGCGGGTGACCCTGTGGGATCACTGGGACTCGGGACTCAGCGTTGGCCTTGGGAGATGCATTCGGAGTCCTGTAAAGAAGTCTCCCGTCACGCGTTCCTTTCTGTCTTTCCTGTTGGGCCGTTACCTGAGTCACCGGAGAAGTTCAAAGCGGGGAGAAGGCTGGGGGAGCTGGCAGGGGAAAGCGGGCATCCCGGCTGGGTAGTCCCGGGACTATCCCAGGACCTGAACCGGTCTCTTAGCAGAGCGGACAAAGTCAACCTGGCTTTTGAGCAGAAGTTGCAGCAGGCGCAGCCGCGTCCGGGACAGAGCTGGGCGCCGGCTCCTTCGCCTCGGCACCACTCCTGCGCAGGGAGGCGCAGGGAGGCGCAGGGAGGCGCAGGCTGGTCCCCGCCTCCTTCGCCTCGGCACCACTCCTGCGCAGGGAGGCGCAGGGAGGCGCAGGGAGGCGCAGGGAGGCGCAGGGGTCCACTGGTGTAGGCGGGAAGGGCACGCGGGGGTGTGTTAGGGAGGCTCGCAGGAGGGGGGTGGTCACGAAGGATCTTGGGGAGGGGGTGTAACGGCTCAAGGGGGGCCTTCCTGGCCAGAGGTACATCGCTGAGACTTGGGGACCGGATCCCAGGGTACTGGGACGCAAGGGACATCCCGGCTGTGGGGGAGGGGGTGGTCGCTGCGAGACCTGGGGATGGGATCCCTCGAGGTTCGGGGGCGGAGGAGGCGGCCCAGCCCGGAAGGAGTCGCAGAAAGACCTGGGGACAGGCCCCCCGTTACTGGGGCACAGAGAGTGTCCCGGCATGGGAGGGGTCGCTGAGAGACTTGGGGACAGGATCCCTAGAGGTCCTAGGGGTGCAGGGGGCATCCCAGCCCGGGGGAGGGAGCCACTCAGAAACTTGGGGACAGGATCCCAGAAGTTAGCAGGCACTCGGGGGATGCCGGCCCGGGAGAGAGTCGCTGAGGGACTTGGGCAGTGGGTCCCGGGTCCTGAGACAGAGGTGGCTCAACTCGGGGGGCCCCTGAGGAGCTTGGAGAAGGGGTCCCCCAGAAGTCCTGGGCAGACCGGGCACCCAGCCTAGGGGGCGTCGCTGGGGAGTACGAGGTCCTAAGGTGGCAGGGACACCAGCCCGGCCCGGGGGCGTCGCCGAGGTGCCTGGGGAGCCCCACGTCCTGAGGCGGAGACCGTCCAGACCCGAGGGGCGCCGCTGAGGGGCTGGGGGAAGTGGCCCCCCGAAGGCTCTGAGGAGGGCGGGACTGGGCCCCACAGGCGGGCCGGCCCACTTCGTCCCTCTGGCGGGCTCGGTGCAGGGCGGGTGCCGGGGGTCGCTCACTCACCGGGTCCGGAGCCGAGACCGGGGCTGGGTGCGGACCGGGCCGCCCGCGGGGGCGCGGG